AAACATAGGTTTTTGACCAATCAGAGCGCGCACAGGGTCCTATCCATATTATAAGTGATAATATAATATAAATAGTATAGACAGGATCCTGCGCGCGCTCTGATTGGTCAAAAACCTATGTTTTATCAGAGTATAAAACATACAAAAAGCGTGTTTTATTGCTTTCGCGTGTAAAATCTATATCATAAAGCAAATGAAGAAGTCTAAGCCGTGTATCCATACAATGTGATAAAACACTCCGGACATTTGAGAACACTCGAGCAATGTCGAAAACACTCGCCTGCGACTCGTGCTTTCTACATTTCCCTTGTGTTCTCAAATGCCCGTCGTGTTTTATCACAGGGTAATACACGGCTCAGGCTTCTTTATTTGTTAAATAAAATATAATTTTATCACTGGTTGACGTATAGAAGGAAAAGACGGAGCTGATTATTTGCATTTTAACAAAATATGTTTTTAAAATTTAGTTTATTGGTTTCTTGCGGAAAAGAAAACATTATAGGTGTTACCCGCAGACAGTGAACTTCGCAATTTCCATGTTACTTGCGTTTCTCTTGCCCTTTAATTTTACTTTAAACGGAAAGTTAACAGGTAAGGTTAGGTTAACGGATAAGGTTAATCTCTTTTTATCGCTTTTTGTTTTTTGCTTCAAAGTTTGTGGGCTTTCGAAGACATCACACACGCTATCGACAGTTCCGTAAACGTGATGGGCAAACTCGGGTAAGTGGTATTGTTTACATATTTACTATGAATTTGATTAATTTAGACATGTTTAATATCAAGGCATTCAACTAACCTAAGTGTACGTGGATTTAGGGAAGTTTAGGCACAGAACTAGACATATTTTAACTGGTTGAAGCCTTTTGTTGTAAGTTTGGGCGTAAACTTGAATAGACGTCAACCGTGATTTTCAAACCTGAACAAAGGGATAAAGTCGTGCCCGTTTAGGGACAACCACTCGCACATGTAAAATAAATATTCTTTCCGAGAAATCGCGCTGTGAAAGTATTAAAGTTCTACTGCAAAAATGTGAATAGAGATAAAAGCAATCTCACTACGATCGGTTTTGAATCGTGCAGGTTTTGGCAGAACTACAAGTGCATCTAAAATTCGAATTTGCTGTTTAAGTCTAAGTTTTCAAACGTATTTATGAATGTAAGTTGTTACGATCATGTGCTTTTGGAATAATCTTTTAAGTCTCTTCATTGCAATTCGTTGGAAATATTTGTATTTTTTAAGCCTTCAAGTTCTCTTTTTTTTAAGATGTCTTGAAAATGACAAGTTCAAAGAAGTGGCCAAAGTAAACTTTTCAACCTTGGAAGAAAAGCAAAAACCGCCATCTCCCCGCCAGCCACCACAACATTTCCTATGTATTTATAGCGAGAGTTTTGAACTCTCGACCTTGTGGTACCACTTTGTACGTGCGCATGCGCGTTTTATATCATATTTTCGAATGAAATTTTTTAAAGTCTTTTGGCAGAAAACGTTTGTCTCTGTAAAGTTCACTTGTGATCTCGATCTTTCAGATGCCTTGAAAATGGCCAGTTTAAAGAAGTGACCATAAAAAAATTGTCAACCTCGGAAGGAAGGCAAAAATTGATGTGG